TTCTAGGATATTATATTTTAGTTTAAGAGATAATAAGTGTCAGACATTTTAGTTTCTGAAATTTTTAAATTGTTACATTAGTCTCACTATCCATTACCTTAATCCTTTGAGCCATAAATCGTCCATATACAATAAATAAATGCTAACATGTTATAGTAACTAGATGGCAAAAACAACGTTATTTTATATCAACATCACCTCCTTCATAGCAAGGCTGCCATCGTTGGTTGGCAAAGGGTGACAAAGAAGAATGGGACGAGGTTGTTGATGACAAAGGCTTGAAGCTTCGATGGTGGCTTTGAGCCTCTTGTAGGTTAGAAGTGTAGGGCTAGGTGCAACCTTTGTAATTGGCAAGTGACAACAATGGTTTTTCTTAGCCACTGTTGATATAGTGTGAGAGCACAACATAGTAACACCTAAGTCACAACTTCCATTCCATGTCATGTACCCTTTCGAAAGTCATGGAGCAAAAAGAAGAAAAGAATGAGAGAAAGGGAGTATTGAAAGGGGAATGGGTGGAGTTTAGAAAAGGCTTCTCAAGTGACATAGGAGAGAGTGTGACTAAAATTCTTCTATATTGACACTGATGTTAACAAATATTATATTTTTATAAGACTAAACTCTCACATTAGTCACTGAGATAAGAAGTGCTACAAATTTTAGTCCCTAAAATTTTTAAATTATCACATTAGTCCATTCATTATTTTAATCCTTCGTGCCATGCATCATCAATATATAGTAATTAAATGCTAACATATAATAGTAACCAGATGGCAAAAAAAATGTTGTTTTACATCAACACCGCCTCTTTCATCCTAGGGCTGCCATCGTGGGTGGAGGTCGACACAAGAAAGGGGGACAGGGTTGTTGATGACAAAGGCTTGAAGTTTCAATGGTGGCTTCGAGCCTCTTGTAGGTCAAAGTGCAGGGCTAGGTGCAACCTTTGTACTTGACAATAATGGTTTTTTTCTAGCCACCATTGATATAGTGTGATAACACACCACAGTAACACTTAATCCACAACTTCCATATTCTACATCGTGCACCCCTTTCAAATGTCATGGAATAAAAGAAGGAAAGGAAAGGGTATTGAAAGGGGAAAGGGTGGGGTTCACAAAAAGGCTTGCAAGTGACATAGGAGAGAGTGTCTAAAATTCTTCTATAGAAAGTAGGATTTTTGAAAAAATATTTAATTAAAAAATAATTTAAACTCCTATCTAGAACAAATTCAACATTTTGGCCTAAATTCGTGCAGATGACCATCTCTTTTGCTAGCTTGTCAACAAGCCTAAAATTATCATTATATTTGATAAAAGTAATTAAAATATAAAATTCAAATTATTAAATTAAGCATAATTAAATAAAAATGAATAGAATATACAACAAATGAAAAAAGCAATTTTAAGTTCTCACTCTTTTATTAGGATTTATAATTTTTTGACTTTAATCTATTAAAAAACTTAATAAAATACTTAAAATTTTAAATTCTTTAAAAGTTTTTATATAAACAACAAATTTTAACTTATAAAATTATAAATTCTTTTTAAAAAATAAATTATTTACTTGAAATATCTTATCCAACGCACTCTAGGAATATATTTGAAAAATATTTTAGTTAAATGAAAATTTAAAATATGTTTAATTTCTAAAAAAACATTATTATTTTTTTCTATTTTTACTTTAATTACAAAATGGTCATCTTATTTTTATTCTACTTTTTAAGATTTGTACATAAAAATAGAAGAAAAAACTATTTTCCATGTTTTATATGCAAATTGAAAACAAGAAACATAATAAAAGTATAAAACATTTTTTTAAATCAAACTGCCTCTAATTTTACTAGTTAAAAAGTTTAACATTGACTAATAAGGTGTTTGAAATATATAATTACTAGTTGTTAAATGCTATTCTAATTAGTGTTTTTTAATTATTACTTACTAGTTGAAAGTAGTTTTTTCATTTTTATATTTATTATTTTTAATAATTTATTTATTTTTATCTTTTAACTTTTAAAATTTCAGTGATTTAGGTTAATATGAGTTAATAAAGTAAGTAATTCATGAATGAATGATATTTTTAAATCGCTAGATGTATTTTAAAATTTATAAACGGTTCAAATATTTAAACTATAAGTTAATAACATAAGTTTATACATATTTATCATTTAATTCTTCGTAAAACTTTATAAAATTTCTCTTTGGACGTTCAAAACCTATTATTTTGTATCTTCAAAATATGTTATCTTTTATCTTCAAAACTTCATTGTCTTTCCACCTCTACATCTTTTTGTATCTTGGATCTTCAAACCTCATTTTAACAAGGTATGCATTTAGATGCAGTTTGAATTTATAATAAAAGCTAACTTTTGAATCAACAGAATGTTAAATGTTATTTTAGATGTTTAGAGTTTTGCATAAACTCTATTTATAAAGTTAATGATTTTTAAAATTAAAAATTTCACATCCATGTTCGTGAGTAAGTATACTTGTCGAAAAGTAATAAAGAGTTATAAAATAAGTTCCTGAAATATCGTCATTAAAGAATTGTTTCTAATTACCAAAAATTTCTTAATTTAATTGTTTAAACTTAAAGGATACGAAATTAAATAAAACAAGGATTTGAATATAAAATTGATTAAAAAAATTAAAATAGTGCAACTTTTAACAATAAACTTAATCGAGAAGAACTCAGGGTATATGATTTCTCCTATATACTTCTCTATGCTTACTTTTAGATTATATCTAATTCCGATTTTCTCATAATTGTCAATTACGCATACTAAATCTATTCACATCCAATAATCATGTAATGTTAATAATTTTTTCTCTAAACTATCACCCTTAATGATCATGCAAGTTAATAATTAATAGAAAAAACCTACGAGTTATTAATTTAATAACGATTAAAAAAGAAAAACTAAGTTTGGTTCATTTAATTCTTTATTTTATTTTATCCTATAGATCCATTAAATATATGTGGTACATCGCTTACAATATAATTAATTATAATATATTCAAAAGTTGTTAATTTTAATATATAAATATAGCATAATAGGATAAACACTAATCATGAATAGAAATACGAAATTATCATAAATCTTAAAAATTTCATAAAGTCATGCAAAGAATCCACCATCACTCTAACTATGGATTTAACTAGATGTAATATAAAAGAAAATTAAAATAATACTAAAAAAATTCATAGTTATTCAAAAAATAAATACAAATTAGAAGAGTCTCTAATGGAGAAAAGATAAAGAGAGCTCTTGATACAAAGATACACTTCTAGAGCTTCTGTAGTTGTCAGTGATTGACCAACACTAAGATTGAAGATATAAAAAAGATGTGAAGTATGAGAGATATCAAATGGATGTGTTCAAGTCGTTGCCCCTGAGGTTTCTTTAATATAGTTTGAAAACTCTAAAATTGTTTTAAAGTTAGACTTTTCGTAGGTAAGCACGACTGTGCATATCATAAGCACGGTTGAGCATATTCTCGAAGCACCCCCTGTGTTGGCTCCAAGGGTATAGGCATGTTAGCTACTGCAAAGCCCAATTTTTCATCTAAGTCAATTTTTTTTAACTTAAGCGAAAACTATTAAAAAAAATAAATCTTATTCGTGGTAATTCACTTAAGCGGTACATAATCCACTTAAGTTGTGCAATACAGTACAAAATTAGCTTAAACGATGAATATTAGCTTAAGCTAATAGGTGTAGGCTTAAGCGAATTTTGATGAAAATTTTAGATTCATCCTTATCTTTGATTCACTTAAGTGTATTAGTGTTGGATTAAGAGAATTTTAATAAATTTGTTAGTTCATCACTGTCTAAATTTCGCTTAAGTGGATAACGGTAGTTTAAGCAAAAATTACAACAAATGAATTAATATATTTCTTCTGATTCAATATAATCTCTTTAATCATTACTCTTATTATAATCAAAATGGAGTATTAATTTTTAATATAATTAGGATGAGTATATAATATTTTCAAATTTACAAAGATCACAGTTGTAAGTATAATAATCCAAAGGAAGAATGATTATGTAAGTTTAGGGTAGATTTGAGAAATGACTTTGCATTCTTCTAAGGAAGAAAAAAAATGAAAAAGAAAAATTGAACAAAACTTTTATAACAATATTTTAAGAAAGGAATACCTAATTCCATTAGATTTCTTGACTTGAATATATCTTTTTAAACTTTTGTCAAGTAAATTTAAATCACAACCACTCAATTTATCGTTAAATTTTATATTAAAAATATAAAATAAATTCTTGAATTTGCTTAAAAAAATAAAAGTAAATTTGAGATAATATGATATAGTTTTATATAAATAAATAATTACATTCTTTTTTAAATAATAATTACCTTAAAAATAATTATATTAAAAAAAGAGTTATTTTAAATATTTAAATATTAAGATTCTCTTGCAATTAAATTTTAAATTTTTAAAATTTATTATATCAAATTATTTTACTAACTTATTTATAAGTTACTTATTTTATTAATTTATCATAGATTTCACTAATCTCAATATATACTATTTTAACTAATATTTTTTTTAACTTACTTTTCAACTACTGATTGAAAGTGATTTTTTTTATATTTTTATCTCAATTATTTTTTAATAATTCATATTTTATCACTCAACTTAAAAATCTTACTACTCTGTTCAATTTTTTAAAACCATTTTGTCATTAAATATTATTAAAATATAACAAAATCATTAAATTTTAATTTTTCACAACATAAAGTCATCAAAATAATAATATAAATTAATTCATATTATTTTATTCATTTAATTAAAATATTTTAAAGTAAAGTAAAATTAAATTTTATTATTTAAAAATATATAATTTTAAATTTTAAATTAAAGATCAATAATATTTTTATCTATCATTTTATACTTATCAGTTAATTCACTAATTTTATCCAACAATTTTAATTTAACAAGTTAATTTTTAAAATTTCAGTTTTAATCTAGTTATTATTCGCCGATGTTGCAGAACGATAGAAAGCCGTGAAGACGAAACTGAAAGAAGTAAAAGAGTGTGAGAAAGTTTCATTTGTATTTGTGTTAGAGTGACCGACCATGTTTACGCCCAGAAAAAAACCTATCTAGTTTCTCCCAAGGGAACCCCTAACTCCGCAGGGAAAGAAAAGTGGGTATCCACTATCCACTGGAACTCTCTGTATTCACTTCTTTATCTCTTCTCTTTCTGCTATTACCGTTGTCTCTACTTTGGCTAAATCATGTTGGCCTCCACACTCCTTACGCCCTCCAAACTCAACCCTTCCCATTTCGTCCCACCGACCAACTTCGCTGATTTTCACCCACGAAACAGAGTCTCAGTCTCTCCCAAATCAAACTCCAAACTCGCTGTGCTCGTCAGGGCCACTAGTAACGGCCGTGATGGCGCGGTTGATGCTACCTCTTCCCCTGTATGTCTCAATTATATGTCCTTTTTTTTTGGCCACTAATTGAAATTGTTTTAGATTGTAACTGAATTAATTGATTTAAGATGGAGGTCATGTGTTTAATTTAGCTTATTTTTAAGGAATAATCGTTTCATTTCCAAGAATTTTTGGGTAAAAGAATAAATTACTTCTCAAAAAGAAAAAAAAAAGAAGAGATTCCCATACATGCAAATTTTCTGATTATTAAGTACTTATTCAATAAGTTTTTATTGCATGAGCCGTTTATTTCATAGATTTGACTATAAAACTTACTGGCATAAACTGAAAAAAATTTTCAAGAGTCACAAATTATTGTCATAAGTTTTCAACAAGCTCTTACAAATGCACCCCATAGCAAGTTTGATTGATTTTTTTTGTAATCTTGTTGGGCCTTGGCTGTTGTTACATGTTTTTGAGTTCCACAACACAACAATTCATTTCACAGGATATTGAACTCTTGAATTTTGCTTTCAGGGTACGAGTACATCTTCTGGCCTTGGTGATGGTTATGTGGCCTTGTTTGTTCGTATGTTAGGCCTAGATCATGATCCTCTGGATAGAGAACAAGCTATAATTGCATTATGGAAATATTCACTTGGTGGAAAGAAGTGTATTGACACTGTAATGCAGTTTCCTGGTTGTATTAATCTTGTTGTCAATCTCCTCAGATCAGAGTCTGGTTTGGCATGCGAGGCTGCTGCAGGCCTTCTGCGATCATTGTCTTCAGTCAATCTATATATTAATTTTGTAGCTGATAGTGGAGCAATAGAAGAGATAACCAGATTGCTGAGGCAATCTTCCATGGCTCCTGAGGTATGGGAATTGGATACAGCAAATTTGGCTCATGGGCACATGTGCCTTTGGTGTAGAAAATTGAGAATATGTTTGACTCTTTTTTGCAGATAAAGGAGCAGTGTTTGAGTACACTTTGGAATTTATCTGTTGATGAGAAGATCTGCATTAAAATTTCAAAGACTGATATTCTGCCATTAGCCATTAAGTACCTTGACGATGAGGATATAAGAGTGAAGGAGGCTGCAGGGGGCATTTTGGCAAATTTAGCATTGCGCCATGTTAACCACAACATCATGGTCGAAGCAGGCGTTATACCAAAATTGGTGAGGCTTCCTTCGAGCTTAGTAATTGGAAGGTGGTTATTTTTTAAGTAAAAGAAATATTTGCATGCCGTACTAGTTTACATGCTGACCTGTAAGCTGTATGTAATTCCTGGTAAGATGACTTTGCCTTGAGATGAACAAACATTCCTGGGTTGGCACCTAAAACAGTAAGCAGTCCTTTAGGATGATATAGCTTGACATGGTATTGATGCCTTTTTGGCCAAACGATGAGGAGTCCCATTCCATGTCACCCTGGATCCTCCACTGTTCTTTCCAAACATGAAACCCTGGACCCTTCTTTTAAGATGAATTCTGCTAGAAATATACAACCATTCCTGAGTTTTTGATGAAACTTCAGAATTCCATATTTAGAAAGTAGAAAAGGAAAGAGGAATCTCAAGACAAAACACCTTAGCTTTCAGATCTGTAGGTCCCAAGCCTCAGGCCATTATACTCTCAATTCTTTTCACACTCCTCCCCACCACCATCTGATGCAAACCAAAAAACAGAGTATAATATATGTACTGAATGAAACAGGGAACCTTGATTGAATTGAGAAAGATAACAAAAACAGGGAAAAAACAGATGGGAATGGGTACCCAATCTGCCCAGAGCCAAGCTCCTTAGAGTCACCTCACAAGAGAGGTCTCCTCTACCAAAATGATGATAAAAAACAGAATGATCCCCCCCTTCTCTCTCCAATCTGATACTAAATAACCATAAAGGTAAAAAAGACAAAATATCTCACTCTACACCCCAAAATACCCCTTAAGTAACAATCATGAGTCATGACCCAATCACCCTTCTAATGCCTTTTCCTCACGTAAACACGAGCCCATCTTCCATGGTTGCCTTCATGCACTAAAGGTTCACTTGATTCACCTCCAATGGCTGTATCACCATCAATTCCTTTTTAAATCCTCATTAGAGCTGCAACAGAATCTTCATTTTGCATTATCGCCTCCTCTGCCTGTTGGCTGCCATGTGTCCCTTTTTCCTGAGTATAAACTCTCCAAATCCTTGGGCACTTATTGAGCTGACCCATAAGTTGATCCCTTTGGTCCTCTATTAGTTTTCACCTAAAACACTATGCTTTTAGGATGATATGGTTCTTCACATGGTACCAAAGCCTCTTTGACAAGTTGGTGAGGCATCCCATTCTTTGTCAGCCAGGATCCTCTTCTGTTTCTTAGAAACATGACATCATAATTTTTTGAGAGAGAGAGACATAAGTTATGTTGTATATGGGATAATATGTTTTATATCGTTCACTTGCTGTCCTTATTTATCCTCTCTTAGATATAATCCGTAGATGTCAACAGAAACAATGGCATCAACGCCTTCCAACAAAAGTTCAATGGAAAAAGAAAGAAGAATTAGAAAGAATGGCATTCTGAAACTTACTGATATTTTAATTTCCATAGTACTCAGATAATTTCCTTTCTCTTGATGCTACAGTCCAGAATGTGATTATCTTTATTCTTTCTTCAGGCAAAGTTCCTAACGTCTAATTTGGAAGGATCTAAAGTTATTAGAAAGGAAGCAAGGAATGCATTGCTGGAACTTGCTAAGGACAAGTATTATAGAATTCTAGTTATTGAGGAAGGTCTGGTTCCTGTGCCACTGATAGGAGCAGCAGCCTATAAGTCACTCACTCCAGGCTTACATTTGTGGCCCACATTACCAGATGGTATAGAAATTGAAAGGACTTCTAGTCAGTCTTCCAAATTTGGTGCATCAGATTTACTTCTTGGATTAAATATTGATGACAAAAATGCTAACATAGAGGAAACAAAAATCAATGCAATTATTGGACGAACACAACAGCAATTCCTTGCTCGTGTTGGGGCTCTAGAAGTGGAAGAAATGGCAATACCTCATTCTGAATGCTCAAATGATCAGCGGTCTACACTTTTACCTTGGATGGATGGTGTTGCTCGTTTAGTATTGATACTAGAACTGGAAGATAAGTCTGCAATAATAAGGGCTGCAGAGTCAATTGCTACTGCATGTATCAATGAAGATATGCGAATTGCATTCAAAGAGGCTGGAGCAATTAAGCATTTAGTTAGGCTTTTGAACTGTGATGATAACGCAGTCCAGTTGGCAGCAACACAAGCTTTAGAAAGGCTGTCTGTTAGGTAATCTATAATCATCAAATTTTAGTTTATAGTTTTATAATTACTTTGCAGCATTAGTTTTTATTCTTGATATTGAGGAGAACTGCCAGTTCTTTTCCAAAATATAAATTAGTTCATTGCTATTCAAAATTAGAGTATATATTTTGGAAATCTCTTGCCAAAAAACTTTAAGGACTTATCTTATATTGTAAATCAAGATTCAGGATATTGTTGCCATTGTGAAAAGGAAATGTTCTATCATAGATTGAGAAAGTGTAGTTAAGTATTTCCTAGAAGGTGAAAGGTAGACCCTATGGTAAGTTTGTATTTTCTAATAGAGCATATAGGAAAATATGATTGGAAAATAAGAAAATTGAGGAAAGACAAAAGTTGCATCATACAGATAATATTTTGGAAAAAGAGAAAGGCATGGCTTTGAGTGGGATAAGACTTGATTGTTGATAATATGAATTGTTTAAATAGTTTAAGATTGTCTGATCATACTTTTTAAATTGGAATTGATACTGTGTGGTTTCCTTGATGCAGCAATGTTATTTGCCGGGTAATTGAATCCGAGGGTGTTTTAGGTCCTTTAGTTAGTATTTTGAAATGCTCAGAGATAGCTGAAACTATTGTGGAAAAGGTATTATTATTTCATTTGTATTAATGAATTATGGCGAGGTTTATGAATATACAAGGATAAAAACTGTACAAGGTTTGCTGATGGTATGACATGCTTCTACAGTCTCTGAACATACTTGCTCGTATATTAGACCCCAGTAAAGAGATGCAATCAAAGGTTTGTTTAACACATCTAATGGGAAATCTACAGCTGATTTTTTCTCCTTGATTGTCAAGTACATTGATTCTTTTCAGTTTTATGATGGACCAGTTGATGCATCTGAGAAAGCATTTGGGGGAGCAAACAATGATGGTGTTTCAGTAAGTTGTAGTAGCACTGAGCTAGACATATCAAAATCAAACACCAGGTTAGCTCTGTGAACCTGAACCAGAGTTCCTAGAAGGGCCTTGGGTTTTTCAAAGTTCAATTATTGATCTTCATATTATTTGATTGAGCAACAGGTCATATTAACATTTATTTTCTTGTTGGTAAATCTTCTCAGGAATGACATACTGGATTCTGGTTTCATTGCTCGCCTCGTTGAGATTCTGAAGTCCTCTTCCCCTAGTTTACAAGAAAAAGCTGCTTCTGCGCTTGAGTTTGTGGCATTGACAGACCCATCTCTTGCCCCAATTATATCTCTAGATATTGAATCCAGTCTCAATTCTGTTTTTCAGCAAAAAATTTTGAAAATTTCAGGTAAACAATTTCAACTTCTGCTCTGTAATGTGTAATCTGTTATAAATACATATTATTTTTCCTGTTAGGCAAGTTTTGTTCTTTTCTTGTAGATGTATAATAAAATAAGTAATCAAAATGTTCAAACATCATCATATCTTTTTCAATATATATGTTGTTTTTGAGAGATGTGAATTGTCTCTTCATATAACTGTTTTATTATTTAATTATATCTCTAACAGTTACTTGAATTCAACTGATGATACTGTTAACTCTTTTACATGCATTCAATATGTTCCCATTTTAATTTTGTTTTTCTTGATCCATATTTTTTCTTCTAGCTCAAGTACTATCTGATCCAGAATCTATTGTTATATTGTTATGATTCAATCCACCTGCAATTAATTAGTGAAAGATGAGACGTTATAGATAAATTTGTTTGGAAATTTATTAGTAAGTGTTTAGAAATCTTGAGGTATAAAGTTCTGATCTGGTTGTTCTGTTGTTGTGTTACATGAATTTTCTTATAAGATGTGAATTTGAAAGTAACTAGACCTGTGGTTTGTGTTTCCACAATTCAAGTCATAGCTTTTAACACTATTTTCATTGAGCAGTGATGCTGATTCAGGATATCAGCCTTACCTTTTCAAAGAAGAAAAAATTTGGTTGTGCTGAATAGGTTAATATAATTTCTCAATTTTCATACTCTAAACACAGTTAGTTATCCATTAGCTTGGTGCTATGGACCCTCAAACAGAAGGAATTTTGCATGGGATTTACATTGCTTTTTGAAGAAAGGTGTAGTGTACCTGTTTGTCATGTAATGTTTGTAGGCTCTAATCTTGTGCTTCTAAGATGAATTAAATTCATCTAATTGGAATTTATGAAAACAATAGCCCTACCTCAATTAATGACAGTAGTGCTTTGAATGGTTAAATCAAACTGCTAAGTACGGATTGCTGGTGTTGATGTTTTCACATCAACATGTGCCTAGCCTTCCTAAACAGTGATGTGAATTGTTCTCTTTTGGTCATAAATTCATAATATCAGTTTTCCTTGGGGAATTTAGTTCCAAATATAATTTTAGTCACACACTCTCACACAGGAGTAGCGATCTAAAGCGTAATGCTATGATCTGTCCCTTCAAAGAATGAATTTTGGGACTAGCATGAGATCGTTACTTGTTGGTGGGGTACTTCTAATTAACATTGCTTCTAACAAAAGGTGTAACCTAATGGTCACCCAAGTATTGTCATCATGCCACTAATCTGTCTTTCCGATTAGAAGAAAACAACAGCTCTACCCAATGTTAAAAATGGTTAGTGTAATGACCATTAGGTTAATAGTACTGTTATACTAGGTTAATAGAGTTATTTGTAACTGTAAAGTACTTATCAAACTAAAAAAGGAAGTTTAATAGTACTGTTATACAACCAATTATTTATATGGTTGTAAATGTTTTTCCTTAAGGTAATGCGATCCATCACCAAGCATAATTACCTTGTGCCTGTTGTAGCTGCACATGAGGTGGAGCTTGGTGGAGGCCAGCAAGAAGGGTTTGTCCCAGTGTTCATGAGAGTGTACAATAGAAAGAAGCACAAGGGAATAGGCAGGAAATTCAAAAACTAGCCGATTTTAGTGGTTATGACAGCTATAATTTTGTAATAGTTATTGTTATAAATAATCTTACTATTGATTAGTGTAGTAGTTATGTTTTTATCATTAGTAATTGGGAAGGTTTGGAGTGTGGGATTTTTCTCGAATAACTCTTGTGGTAATCAACCTAATTCCTTCACCCAATTCTAATACTGTCACTTTGGAACTAATTTGGAAATTAGGGTTAACAAAAATCAGAAGTTCTTTTCAGTAATTATGTACCAGTTCTATCAAGGTATCAAATTTTTTTTTTCAGCTAAGACACTTGAGCTGACACCTCTATACTTCTAGAACATTTTAGTTGACACTTCAGTATAGATGGACACACATAAGTATTATTAAAAGATATATATTTTTAACTTTTAGAAAAGTTAGGTTAAATTATAAACAATAATGCCTCAATTGTTTTTGGTAGGGCATATTATCATAGAGAAAATATAAACTTATTATATTTGGTTTGAAAAGGTAAATATGCATTATTTTGAATAAAAAAATTATCTTGTTTTGAGATTATTTTTGTAAAGAGACCAAATGCTTATATTATAAAATCATATCTCTTAATATTTTTTTGAGAACATATATATATGTGGTGTCTTGGTGTTCTATATTTTAGACAGTAACCATGTCTATGTGTCCATGTCTATCTCAGTCTGTGCTTCGTAGGTGACAATGAAACGTAAAGCATTATCCCTTATTTATACTAATAATCCTTACGAAATAAGGAAACAAATCATGAGGTAAAATGAAACATGAAAACCAAGGAAATAGGGACACTAATCCTAGGAGATAATCTTTAAGTTATTCTAAATTATTCTAAGATATTTTGATATTATGAGATACTTTCCATATTGTCTTGTTTTATATCACTAATATGCCTTTCATACAAAATCCATCTGTATGCTGAGATTTAGAATGGATCAGCAACTTTTGAACTCCTGACAATGTAGTTAAACATGCATATAATTATATTTGGAGCTGTATTTTGAAGGTCAAAACGTGGTTTTACATCTCTAACACAGTATAGCTCATGAGAAAAGGCTTTAGTTGTTGTTATTCAACCTAATTATTTGTCACTAACCTACAGTCTGTAGACCCAAATGTCATTCGTAATTTGTTATGCCTATGCAGCGGACATGGAATCCGATGTAGAATGTCAGTTTTCAGAAGCGTATGCAATTGAATTTGAAGAAGCTGGTCTTGCAATATCTGCAGCATCCCGGTTAATGACAAGACTACTCGACTGTGAGCAGTTTCGCCGCAAAATAGATTCTTCCCAGTTCATTTGTTTGCTTCGCGAAATCCTCAGGTCCAGTATTCCTCTCCACAGCAAAGATTGGGTAGCTGCTTGCCTAGTTAAACTAAGTTCTCTCTCTGGCTACAACATGAGTTTCGATCCAATAAATGTGGAAGTTACACTTTATGAGACAATCCCAAGACTCTTGGAACAGATCAAAACTTCATTCTCCCCAGAAGCACAGGAAAATGCTGTTGTAGAACTTAATAGAATAATATCTGAAGGTGTGGTAGATTCTACAGGGGCTATTATTTCTGGGGGGGCAATATATTCATTGGTGAAGCTGATGGAAGAAGGTAGTGAAAGAGCTGTTGAAGCAAGCTTGGCAATATTGTATAATATGAGTATTGACAGTGAGAACCATTCAGCACTTGTGGCTGCTGGAGCTGTCCCGGCCTTAAGAAGAATTATTCTATCAAACGGGCCACAGTGGGAACGGGCACTTCATGTACTCAGGAATTTGCAAACATGATGAGTCCAAGGGGACAAATCCTGAAACAGTTTCCTGATATTGTATAATCTACTTGAAATGTGTACAAGAAAATATTTACTCTTTTTTATATAGAAAACGTATTTGATTCTTTTAAAATATTCTGAATTTCGCTATCTTGAATTCGATGATGAGTAAAGTTGGATTGTTTTTCAAACGACCCAGATATTGTAAAACAAAAAAAGAAAGACGGATCAGTATTTTCCATGATTTAAAATTAACTGATATACCAGTTTCATATACAATACATTATTTAACTGTAATTAATCATTAAATTATATATTTATAGATGCTTAAATCATCTAGATTTTGTTATAATTATAACATCTCAAATTTTCATCACTTTTAAATTAATTATTAATAATATCAATCTAAATTAAAATAAGATAATACATGAAAAATTAAAAATTAAAACACACTTATCAAAATCTATAAAAAAAAAAGTCTATTAAGAAAGAATCAGGTATCATAAGTATTGAGTAACTCAAATTTAGTAGAGATTAATCATCAAAATTATTTTAAATGATTTTACATCATATAAATTAAAGATTATAAGAATTATATTGAGTTGAAAGAAACAAAAATAGAAAATAAATGAAGTTGCAAAATTTGGCCCAAATGATTAGAATATCCTTAAAAGGACTTGCAATGTTGGCCCGTTTTGGACAAGCTAAACAACCAAGGAAAAATCTAAAACTTTTATGACAAATATATGACTTAAATAGTGGGCTGGACGTTAAAGAATCAAGCCAAAAGTTTGAGTACAAAATTCAAACCAAATTTCTCAAAAAAAAAAAGTTGAAAATAAAGTGAAAAAAGGCCAATTTTGAGCCAAAAATTTATAAAATTTGTAATATTATACATCTAACTTATCGTGCACGGTTTGTGATATGAAAGAGAAGCTAAATTAGCCATGAGTGATGAATGAGTTGGATAGGATAAGCCAATGGTAGAGATGGCTTGGGTTATCAAAAGTTCATGAAATGACCCTTGATTCTACAAAAGAATCTTATCCAATTAAACTTAACATAATTGCAACTAGATTATCCTCTAAACTAACTAATAATTAAGGCAAACAGGGGAACCAGACTTAGTTAGCCAGGGATTGAAGGCTAACCAAATCAAGTACAAAGAGATAAGGAAAGTGTCACCCCAAAAGCTAATTTTGTCCATTATGAGCAAGAGTTTTACACCCACTTTATACCTAGATGCAAGCTGATTGGAAGGTAAACTTCAAAAGCAAAAATCTTGGCATAATGTCCTTCTATATATTGGTGACTCCCTAACCCAAGGAAGCTAAGAAAAAGTTTGAAAATTCCATTGCAAAGTTGAAGAAAGACCAAGAGAAAAGGAGGAACACTCTCAAAATTTTCTTATTTTAGCTAAACCAAATCTTCCAAGACCTTTGTCAACATCAAACACATACTAAAGAAGCCTTTCGTCATCAAAACAAGTAATATTCTCCACCAAATTAGTAAAATAAAATAAAATGAAGAGAACTACCTAAACACTTACCAAGGTAACCCACTTAAAAACAAGTGTGAAACTCCACCCTTTAGGACTCCTTGGACACTTGTGGAGGCTAAAATAAGGAGTGACAAAGGATTTCAACAAAGTCCTCAGAGTACTGAAGGAAGAGGAGACCACTACCCACTCACCACCTTATCAAAATCAAGTAAAAATCAAGTAAGGGGATATTATTTCATAAATTAACGAGTACTTTTTGAATTGAGAAATAATTTCTCAATTTGGCCCATTTAAAAAAGTATTTTCGTATTTAGAGTGAGAATGTCATGTTTCATGAAGTGTCATTATATAAAGTGTCAACACATTCATTTTTTAATATTTTTACAAGTATCAGTTTATAAAAAGATATTAGTATCGATTGAGCAAATGTCGATACTTATCTTACGGTGACATGTGTCATTAGTGTTGTTAAACAACAGATCGACACTTTTGTGTCAGCTAATTTAAGCTTAACACTAATGTGTTGATTTCTGAAACATCGACATATGAATGTCGATCACTAATTAAGTAACACTTGTCTCATTCACCACGTCGCAACTCACCATTTTACTTTACACCACAACTCACTCTTTTACTTTACAGTTTTTACCTAAAATTAAAGATATATATTGCATCAAAATGTTATAGACTCTTAGTTTATTTTTGGAGAAGTTCATAAAAGCAATTTTTAGCAGTTGAAGGTTAGAATTTTTATTAATTATATTATGTAACTAAAATTGATTTTATAATAATTAAATTAAATAATAATATTTTGAAAGAAACAAATTATTTGTAATTACAATAGTATTGTATAAATAATAATATAAATAATGGTTTGTGTATATTATTATAACATAAATACAATAATATTAATTGTAATTTATATTTAATGTGATGATTAGTTGTTTAAAAAAATAAATTGTGTTATGAAAAAAATTAATTTAACTATACCGGTAATATTTAGTATGTGAATATACATGTGTTTTAAATTAATTTGTTTAATATTGTCTATTTAGTGTTTGTTTAAATAAATAAATTCTTTTGATTAATCTTATTATAATTAAACCTTTGTTGTGCAAAATAAATGAAATTGTAGTTGTTTTATATTAAAATGGTAGAATAATATTAATTTGTTTTGTCAATGTCATTTAATTAGCACTTAATAACTTTTATGACATAATTAAATAAATTTGTATTATTATTCACAACTTATGAATTAATTAGCATTTACCAGCTTATATGACTTATTATTGATAAACTTCCTCTTCTACTATTACATGATGTATTAAGTACCACTTAACAACGTACATGATATATAATCAAGTTTTAAATTTTTTTAATATAATAAATATATATCAATCATTAATAATAATTAATGTATACTCTTCTTAAATTTGTTAATTAAATTTCTGATATTAATAATATGACTTTTTATTAATATCTTTATCTTAATGTATATTTTATTAATTTACAACAATAATTTCACCTTAAAATAAATCTTTCTTAACTATATAACACAAATATGTTATAAAAAATAATAGTTTAATAATCGTTCCTTGTAAATAAATATGAGTCGCTGCAGGATAAGTAAATATTGGCATCTGCTTGGCCGACATTAATATTTTTTTTTAAAAATTATGTATCACTATTACTATACTAATACTTGTAAAAAATAAATAAAAAATAATATGTTCACATTTTATATATATACACTTCATATAAAATAGTATTCTCATCCTTAGATATGAAATTATTTTTCATTTCAATGGATAAAAAAGTTTACAAAAGTCAGAGATAAAAAATTAAAAAAATAATAAAGTTTTAAAAATTGTTAATGACAATTTTTTAAAAACATTAAAATAAAAAAATTCAAAAATGCTGATAATAATTTTTAAATAATAATAAAATATTTAAAAAGTAGTCAAAAGTTATTGTTGGTGATTTCTAAAAAAAGGAATGAAAAGTCACTATTGACAATTTCTGAAAAAAAGTCATATTTTTATAATTTTACTAAAAATTCCATATTTTGGTAATTTTAAAAAAAAAATTATATATAAAAGAAAGAGAGTCATGGTTTGTTAACTTAAGAATATTTTTTTTAGCCTCTACATTTTATTTTTAAACATGATAATTGAGATTGAATTATTAATGGGAAGAGAAACAGACGTCTCAATAATAATATTACATGATTTAACAATTATATTAATAAAATTCATTTTTTTTAGTTATTTCACATGTAATTTTATCAATTTTAATTTTATTGATAATTTAGTTATTTCATCGATCTTGTTTACAAGAAAGCAATATATGTTGTACCTTTTGATTATTTTTTTATCCCTCTCTTTACAGGAAGATAGTATCACGATTCTGAGAACAAGCAAACAAACAGGCATTACTAAGTTTTTGCAAATAAAGGGTATAAAAAAAGGGTCGCAAAAGATATTAGAAGTTTTGCAGATATTTTTAAGAGACTATAATGGTCTTATCCGTTTGCTCCGTTTTATATGGCGAGGTGTTTACGTGAAGCAAAAGAGTAAACGTTAAACAGTAAGCACAAGGACACCATGTTTTGCATATCTAACCTTTCTTCTATGGCCAAACCAATTGTGGCTAACGCCACGCTTCCTCAAAACACCGATTCTGAACAAAACAACGTTCCTAAACCGCCACTCGCCGCCACAAAAAGTTCACCACGCGCAAATAGACTTCGGAATGGGCCACCAAAACCCTCCGTAATGCAAATGGAACGCGTTGTTGGCGCTGGCAGCTTCAGAGACTCCGATCCTCCTCCTCTCAGGCACGCTCTGCTCCTTCATTTCATTTTTCAATCGTTTTTTTGTCTGGAAAAAGAAAAGTGGACTTGTATCAGTGAAAAAATTAGTTAATCTTCTTAGTGACTGTTTTCTGTCAGAGTTTGTTAGAATATGAAAAGAAAAGTTCTTCGATCGAAAACACAGGAGACGTAAGGCACCAACTAATCTTAATTTATTTCAAATTGTTCATCAAATTTTGGTGGTACCAATGAACTCGAACTAAGTAGGATCTCTCAATATTAAATCAATTAGATCTACATGTATAAGGAAAATTTTGGATCATCTGGTATAATTGAGCAGTACGATTTAAATAGTCCTGTTAAGGAGAGAAATATAATTTTTATTCAATAAGGTTTGATTGGTTATATATTATATAAGATAAATATAAGATACTATATGGTATATTCTCTTCAAATTAATTATTATGATTAATTTTTTTAATATTTTAAAAATTAATAGATATTTGTGTAATTTTTAAATAAATTATTAAATTTTATTATTTATATTATACATATTTAATATAAAATTAAAAATTTACGAGAGAAATTACCTGTTGATTTGATGGATAATAATGAACAGGGGTTCAGACATGCGGAAGACTGTGATGGACCTGTTCTTGGGGCAAGCAATGGAAGGGCCAGTCGAAAAGAAAATGAGGGAAACAGGAGAGTGGCTGGCTACTAATACTGAACCTAAATTCCGCTCTTCTAGTGAGTTGTAATTGATTTTAGTTAAATTATGGTATGGGTTGGTGATAACCTAATTTCTCATAATTTAAGCATTAAAAATGATTTTTTACTAAAATAAATAAATATTTAATAAAATTTTACTATTGTTAATTTTTTAAAAGTTGAGAATACTATTTTTTAAAATTATTTATCTTGTTACTTGTTAGGTAATGGAGATATTTTAAAAAGAAAAATAAGAAATAATAATATTTTTATTTTTAATTAATATTTTGTAATTTAAATTTTAAAAATGAAAATTAACTTAATTTTAAAAAAAAACTACTTCCTTTTCTCTTTTTTTTAATTAAATTTTACTCCTAAACATACGCTTAGGATGATCAATAATTACTAGTTACTCAAAATCTTCACTAGGGTAAAGATCTAAGACTTTATTTTGGTCAAGAAATTTAGAATAGGTTAAAGGTTATAACTATATCAAAGCTTGAAACCTAGGTTTGAAGTTTGTTTCAAGATAGATTATGGGTTTGTTTATTTTGAAGTTATAAAATTAATTCTTGCATTGTTTAATAAAAGACACGCATTTCAATAAAAATGTGCGGCTCAAATTAATAAATTCACACTTCTCAATCCAATTTTACTTTGAACAAAATAAGCACTGTGAATCCCAAAGTCATTTCAAAGTGGGCAATTTATATTCATATTATTGGTATTTAATGAAATTTTATTCGATAATCTTTTTTTATCATAAACCATTTTTTTTGTCAATTTATATAATAATATAACATTGTATATCCATCATATTAATTTATATCTTCCTTGATATTTTAGACAATTATATAAATTAAGAAAGGTTAAAATAATATAAAAAATATTAGGTGAAATTTAATTAAATCTCAAGAAATATAAATGTAATTTTTCCTTATGGATGCCAAAATCCGCCTTCTAATGGGAAGCTTTTATCAATTGCTCTTAAATGTTGAACGATCTTACTCATTGCCCTAGACAGTGTCCTTAATGGTGGACATGAATTTGCGAAACTTTATTTTTTTGAGTGGCATTAGAGGAGCAAATTGTTGAATTTATTTGGTTACCATCTCCCTTAAAATTTGTGTGCTTAGCATTCCAAGTCATGAAACCTATAGTGCGTAAAGTTCTTTAGCATTTTTAGGTAGCAAACATAAATGCCTCCATTTTTTTCTCACAATTTTGCCATGATGGTGATAAAATATGTACAAAACATATGGCTAATGATTCCTCATTTTAGCTTGTCTTTCACTGTTATTCTTTTAACTTTTACTTCATTCTCAAGTATAAGGTATTGAAGTTTTATTTATATCAGCTCATTCTTTCATTTGCTGTTGATCTTTCAATTAAACTTTCTATTTCGTTTTAGCCATTTTTAAATACGATTCATACGATCCAGTCCTAAATAAATCTTTTCTTTCCCTCTTTTTTTGTTTTGTTTAAACTGTTGCAGGAAAAGGAATTCTAATGTTTATGTTCCAATGGATGCTACCAATTTGGGCTATATTACTCCTTGTAGCCTATGGAGCCATAAAGTTACCATTCAGCAACTCTTCTCTTGATGATTTGCTCATGTGAGCATTGGTCAATTGCTTTGAACTGTGGTAAAGTATTATAAAGTTTAAAGGGACCAGGTTCTAATATTTATATTTAATAACATAACATTCTTACATGTCCCAAAAGCTCAAGTTTATACATGCCCCAGCTTTAATTTACCAGCGCAATGTTAGATTTTTTTTATTGGATCTACAGACACATGTACATTTCTATACAACTGTATACGTATTTGTTTCATTCAAGGGTACTTTCTATTTAGGCATCGTTATTGCAATCTTCTTATGCCGTTTCCATGTTTGTAGTGGGCACGGAGTGTGTTTCAACATTGACCCTTACGACTGAGGGATGAAGCAAGAAATTTGTTGTGGTTGGCCTATTATTAACCATATTTTTTATTGTTGCTCCCCCTAATTAATTGCAATGAACTAAAATTGGAGTTGTGATAGATTAAAGTAACCAAATACTCCAATCTCGTAAGGCAAACATAAAATATTATTAAAACAATATTTAACTTAATTCAGCGATTACTGAAAATGTTGTAAAATCTCTTTTGACATTAAGCAAATCATATTTTCAAATTTAATCTATTAATAGTGTATATTTATATCTTCAAAATCATGCTTCTAGAGTTTACATCTTAAATACATGAGTTTATACTCAATAGGTAGCTAGCTAGTTTCACAAAAAAGAATAAGTCAGGGTTCACTTGGGAACAAATAAGTTGTCTAAAGGTGATACTAGCGGAGAAATGACGTTTAAAATTCAAAACGCAGGCCACTCAAAAGTGGGGCGACCACCACATTAGCTAATTTATGAAAAAAATGAGATGACATTTTTAAAAATAATATAAATTTTTTGACATTGATTATTGTATAACTAATGTAAAAAGTATTTTTTTAAATTAGTTTAAAATTAAATTAATATACAATTCATGATTTTTTGATGAGTTTATTTTTGAATAATAAAAAAATGTATCAATTGAATCTTAACTAATATATGAGGCCAACACCTGAAATATTATAATATTATGCAATCAAGTGTAAAAAAGAATTCGAGATCAACACCTAAAATATCGTAATATTACATAGTCAAGTATAAAAAAGAAATAGACTAAAATAGACTTATTTTCGGAAAAAACTATGAAGCATAAAACTTAAAAAATAATAAGAAATAAAAAAAATTGGGCAAAACATTATAATTTTGAAAAAAAATTGCTCCAAATCCCTTTTAAGTATTTGAAATGAATAGATTTAAAAAATTATATGAAATGAATATATAGTTTGCATAAATTAAAGTAATGTGCAAAAATTTATACTCCTTCAAAGTATAAAGCTAAAAATTGCAAAAATCTTGAGTATGTCCGTGTTGAAAGTCACACCATCCATAAATGATCTATGTTTGTTGTATTAACTTGTGCGCGTTGTGCTAAAAGTTGAATTCATGACTTAAATAACTAATGTTTTATTTCTAGACAAGCATGTCCCTTCCATGTTAAATGCACAATTTCATCACCATTATATGACTTTTGTTGTGTTTCCAAACAAGCAAGTCTTGTACTAATATGATCATGCATACTTGTTCGATGCCTAAGTCGCACCCCTTACGAGACTTGTGTATAAAAAAAAAGATGTATTTCAAGATTTTAGAAAGAAAATATATTTAAGTTTCTTATTTATTTTATTTTAAATTAAAAAAATTCCTCGTATGTATATTAAGAATGTTAAAATTTACTATTTTAGCATCTTAATAAATATGAATTCAATGATAAACAACTTATATCCAAACATACTATAAGTTAATATTAATAATTAACTAAATAAGAAAAAAATAAAAAATAAGTATCCAAATTAGGTTAAAAGTTTAAAATTTAGAATGAAATTATTATGCTCGTAACACAGTAAAAAAAAACTATATATCAAAAGATTTTATATTAATTTGATTTGAAATGGAGTTTGAAATCTTTTCTTTGATTTGATTGAAAATTTTGGACTTGATTTCATGAGCTATGCATGTAATACTGGTTGTGATAATTTTTAAAAAAATTATATTATATTATTTTGATTGGGAAAAATATAAAATGTAAAAAAGATAATATTATTAATTTGGAAATTTTATTTGAATTTAAAAAAACATTTAAATTGAGATATTGTCTTTAATTTGATTGTCATACTTTTAAAAATTGTTGATATGAAACTATTTTAGATATAAAAGCAACAATTTTTTTAATCCAATTATATTTCATTTTTAATTTATATAAAGTAAAGATGACTATGAATTTATTTAAGTGAAAATGACATATTTGTTTAAGCGAATTTGTTTGGTTTAAGTGAACTGTACAAACTAAAATTTGTACAATCACAACTAAGTATGACAAACATAGAAAACCATAATCTAATGACATTACAATGATGTAAACATTTCTAACTTTTACAATCAACTGTAAGTTCTAATTAATTGAAAACCAAATTTTAACTTATTCCAACAATAGATTTTCTCAAACCCATAACTAGAATATCAAAATATCATCATTTTACATTGAAAGGATAACATACTTGAGAAAGGAATATTGGAGAGATGAAGGAGAGGAATGGTTAAACTTTGAGAACGAAAGCAATGGATGCAAATAGTGGGGTGGTTGTTCAATTTAAGTAATTTTCAAGAATAACAACTCACTTTTGGTATTTCCCTCTTTTTAACGTTGCCCTGTGCCAATACTTTTGTTTAAGCAAAATTCCCTTGCTCACTTAAGTGAACAATAGATAATTTAAATAAATATCAAGTTGCTTAAGCGACTTTGGAGCTAAAGCATCAAAGATAATCAATTAAGCAAGACATAATAGCTTAAGCCACACCATAAGCCTGGCCACACCATTCGCTTAAGTGACATAAGTTTCTTCAACAAATGAAATTCTTTTAAGAGAAAAAAAATTTCTTAAATGAAAATAAATGCGCTTAATTGAAAAAGTGTCACTTAGGTGAATTATGCAATAATTTGGTGCTCAAACTAAAGTAGTATGATGCATGCTTCAAGAAATACTTCCTCAAACTTCTTTCTCTAAAAAAAGAACACTTCAATGGCACAAGTTAGAGCTAAAGTGAAGAGAACATTGATAAGTACCAAGTCTTTGTAATTTGTAACATGAATTAGAGCACTTATTTTCTTGAATGAAGTAGTTTGAGTTTCAATTCCTTTTTCAATTTTAATTCCTTTTTTGTTGAATTCCTTATTTTACAGGAACTTATGAAAGAAGAAAGACAAGGAAGAAAGAAAGGAAGTGATCTGTCAAATTTTTGCTCAAACAAAAAATTATTGCTTAAGCGAAAATGCAAAAAATAAAATTGGAAGCTATCTTATTTTAACTCAAGTGAGAATTTTTAGCTTGAGCAAGAATTCATTAATAAGAAAGAAAAATCAACAAAGAAAGAGGAATTGCAGAGTCGGAAAACAAGGCAGAGAAGGGAGAGCTAAAGTAAGGAGCATTGGCATCAATCCTCATCTCTTTTCTCTCTTTCTTGTGTTGTAATGGTTACTATGGGTAGCTAAACTTTCTTTAGGATTGGATGTAATCTTCAACTTTGTAGTATTTTGAAAATTTATATATAGTTATCTATTTCTATAGATGCTAGTGGTTTCATTCTGTTTTTATTGTTTGATTCTAATTTTAATGATAGTGTTTTGATTTAGGATTCTAAGTTTAGTTGGAAAGCAAATCTTAGAACTAGAATGAATGAAACTCACTCGATGTATTGTGATGGTAGGAATAGATTTCAATATATCAATTGCTTTTTAACTCTTATTTTTAATATTAGAGGATTCTTTAAATATACGAGGAATTGTTATTCATTGAATACTCTTAGAAACCTTATATTTGAGGAATCAATTTAAGGAAATATTAAAAGAGTGCATCTATATCTATAGAATAATTTTTAGGTATTTATTCATCAAAATATGCAAGATGATAAATGATGAAATCCAATTTCAGCTCAAACTCTAATATTTTTATATCTTAGTCAAATTCAATTCTTGAATCTCTAAATTTCTCAACTCATGAATATTTGTGAAAACATTATATTTTTTTGTTAAGAGTTTTAATTAGGATAATAGAGATTATAAAAATATCTACTAATTCTTGTGGATACGACAATCCTTACTCCTTTAATAAAATGAAAGCTTTAGTATGCTTGCCAAAATCCTAAGAAACACCATCTTACACTGATAAGAGGCCTAGTGGCATACAAAAGCAATACTTGATTTTGCTTTTTCCACTTGTCCAACAACTTCATCAATAAGTCTAGTCCTTCATTTTGAAAAATACTTTTTTTTTTTCGGTTTATAATGAATGGTGGAAGATTAACTAGAGTTCAAAAATTTCTTTTCTTTATTTTGTTAGAAAACATGACGATTACAACTGTGAAATGGAAGCCAAGAGTTAGGTTGAAGTTTTAAAAGTATAGATGAAGCATGATAATTTTGCAGTAAAATGGTAAGAGGATAGATTTTGGAATTAGAAAATAATACTTCAATAAGTGAAAAAAAAGACAATTCTATCACTTCATGTAGGTGTATTTGTTGTAAAGAAGGCCTTCGAAAGAGAGATAAAAGAGATTCCTAAGTTGCCAAACATAAAGCTAAAATTAAAACTGATTTTTATGCCAGAATTGAAATATTTTAGGGACAAAACAAAAACTTTATCATACATGAATTTGTAGAAGAACATAAATACTTGTTAAGCTTCAAGAGACAACTCACATGTTTCACATTGTAACATAATTGTAGTCTAAGCTTATGAGATTGATATGACTAAGAATTCTAGATTGCAACAAAAGTCATCATGTCAACTACACTTGCAGACCATAGACCTAATGTTATGATAATAGGTTGGATGCAAAGAATTAACTCAAAGTAAGAAGACAGAACTATAATTTATGGAGAAGTTGGTTGTCTAATGTAGTATTTTTAGTGGCAATTATTCGATATTCCATCATTCTTTCATGAATTTCAAATAAATATAAATGAGCAAATAACAAATGTATTTTGGACTAACACAAAACGTGTGTTAGATTACACATATTTTGCTAAAGTAATTTTTTTGAAAAACTACATATTTCACCTATCACGTAAATAGATCTCTTACATTGTTGTTAGGCTTTCAACATTATAAGGATGCTGTAATATTCGGTTTAGCCTTGTTGTATGGTGAAATAGTAAATCTTTTCAATAGTTGTTTGAGACAGTTTTGGGCATAATTAAAAAAAATCAATCATTATATTTAGTGATCAAGATCAAGCAATGTCTAAGGCTCTTATTGAAATCATGCCTAAGACAGATCATGCTTTGTACATGTGGCATTTGATGCAAAATGAAATAAAACGTCTTGATAATTTGATAAAAGGTGAAAGTTATTTTTTAAGAGATTTCAAGAAATGCATATATAAGTTTGATACATTAATTGACTTTGAGGAAGCTTGGACCAATATGGTTAAGGAATACAATATTTTCTAAAAATAATTGGATCAAATCAGTGTGAGGCATAAAGGAAAAGTGAGCATCGTGTTGTATGAAGGAAATGTTCACACTTGAGATGCAGAGTAATCAATTAAGGGAAAATTTAAATTCTAATTTCAAAGTTTGTATGAAGCCTCGTATTGATATAAAGCAATTATTGCACACTTCATTTATAGATTGAATTGGAATGGTTGATTAAAAAATAATTAGATTATTCTTACAAATTGTTGAATCTTTTTTGCTTTCATTCAATTCATCTATTTTTTCTGAATCTAAGAAATAATAAAAATAAAGAATGAAAAATAGTAAAATTAAAAATGAAGAGTTGTTTTATTTTTTTTAGAAATAGAATACTTTTGATGATCCATTTTGCAATATCTTTTGAGATATTTAGAAACAATTTTGTTTTTCATTTAAAATTTTTAAAACTAAAAAAAAAAGAATTTTTCAATTTTTTCTTTTTAGTTCTTTAAAAATAGGATCACAAAAAGAAAATTGATTTTTGGGAGAATCAGAAAAGGGGAATTCAACTTCCTTTCCCCAAATTGCTAAAAAATAGAAGTTCTTTTTTCTTTTTATTTTATCTCTTTTTTCTTTTTATTGTATCTTTTTCCTTTTCATTGGATCATAGCTTAGATTTGTGCTAAGGTTTCAGACGAAAAGGAAATAAGATCTTTATCTGAATATTGTCTATTAACCATTTTTGGAGAAATTCTGTTTCAGATAATTGAACGCCATTATATATATTTAATATACATTTCTCTCTTCCAATCCTTATAATATTTTGACCATTCAGGTTGAACGTGTTATTGAAGACAAGTGTGAGTATGAGTCCGCCGTAAATTATCAATATTGAGATATGAGACGTTTCTTATACTAATACAAATGAGCAAACTTTATATACATAATGTATTTAACCTATTACAAGAAGAATTTGCTTCATTCTTAACCTATTGCAGAAAGGATTGCATCTCCCTGAGAGAGATAATGAATAATATCATTTGATTATGCTTTAGTCTATATGATGCAATTGTAGAGAATTTGAAAAATTTGACCTACTTTGTTCCCATGAATTGAAGGTTTTTGAAGCAAATGATGTCTAGGATGTCCTTGAAAAATATATCATTAAGAGAAGACAAGAGAATATTGTTCTAACATTATACACAATGTCAAAGGAATAGAAATTGAGGGAATCTTAAACTAGAACAACTAGCTTCTAAAATGATTAAATTTACATATGAGGTATCTACTTCTAAAGAATACTCTCACTTAATAAATAAAAGTGTAAATGTTGTTTTTCATCAAATCACACACCTTTGATTATAAGCATAAAATATTGAGAGTTACGATGATGATGCCCCTACATTAGTCATCAATGATGATACACAAACAAAGAGTTTCAAGGAATGACTAAGCATAAAGATGAATAAGTATAGATGATTCAAAAGTTGGGTAGAGCTATAGGAAAAATGGAGAAGTAATGTTCCAATTAGAGGTCTACCACGAAGTCAAAATTCTCAAGTAAGTATATATATAATCATTGCATATATCAATAAATAAGTTAATTTTTATATCTTGATTATAACCATGTGTTATGTATTTTGTCAATATTTTAGGAATATGAACCCACTCCATGTTACGATATCCCTCACACTTTTAACATTGAACTCAGTTTTACTATGTTATTGATAGTGAGATCATTTAACTTAAAAGTATAAAGTTATCTTTTCTTATTTTCGTATAAAATTTTGGTATTTTATCTTGTTTAGCATCTCCATGTTTTTTTGTAAGATCATTGAACCTTGTTTACTTTGTTCATGTTTGTTTTATTTCTCTAATCATGTAAATATTATAAATGTATATTCTAACATTATCTCATGTAATGTATGTAATAAATTTCCTTTACTTGTTTTGTTGTATTTGAATTCTAATTTTCTGCAAATTAAATTTTTTTATGCATTATTTGTTTAAGTGAAACATTTGCTTAAACGAAGTAGGCTATTTAGATAACATCATACTTCGCTTAAGTGATTTAAGCTTTACTTAAGTGAGTTACTTGAGAGGTGTGCTTTGTGTCCAATTTTTGTTTAACAAAATTGAATTTCATTTAAGTGACTCCTATTTCACTTAAACAAACATGTTATTGCTTCTGTCAAAATCAATGTGTCGAATATCTGTGGTCTTTGTTGAATTTTCGCTAAAATTATGTTTGAGAGAAAGTTTTTGGAAGAGAAGGACATATTATTTAATTTTAAATTAAAAAAATTATATAATATTTATGATGACAAATACAATAAGTTTTTGTTAATATATTTATTTAAAATATAAATTTTATTCTATCCTCCCCTCTCCTTCAAAATCTTACTTTCCAAACAACTCTTTAAGATTGTTAATACCTATTTAAGTAATTTCGCTTACTTCATAGTTTAGTTGCTTATAAATTCTTTTGGAGTATGCTTGGGAGGAAAGTTTTGAAGAAGAAGAAAGATAAAATATTTTTTAATTAAAAAAATCATATATAACATGATGATACATAATTAATATATCAAATTTATGTCAATATATCAATATATATATATATATATATATATATATATATATATACACGCGCACTTTAAATATTAATTTTAAATATATTTATTTAAAATTATTTTCTCTCTTCCTAAATATTCTTTACCAAATAATTCTTGATACTATTCCTCACTCCTACTTAAGCTAAATTACATCTCTTACTTAAGTAATAATTTCAAAATTTATCTAAGTGAGTATGAAATTGTTTAAACAAAAATATAATTTAAACATCTAATTCTCATATAAATTAAAAACATTTTAATTTGATAAGGAGCATGTTCAAATTAAGTGAGAAAATAAATTAAATAAATGAAAATTTTAAATTAAAAATATATATAAAAAATAAAAGTTAAGATTTAATTCAATTTTTATATTTTTATTAATATGATGTATCAATATTCAAAATTTATAAATTAAAATTATATTCATTTAAAAAAAAATAAATTCGTATTTTGATATGAAATATAAAGAATTGAATATTAAAAAATATTATTTAACAGAAATTAAAAATAATTAAAATTTTAATAATAAATATAAAAGAAATAAATATTGCTTAAAAATATTTTCATTTGAGAATAAAAATTTAAATTTAAAATATAAAATAAGATAATTTCTATAGTATTTTGAAAATTAAAAGAGTATTTTATTTTTTTTGAAATAATTATAATGATTAATATTTTATTCAATATGTATAATAAATAGTAGGTTGATGATTTATCTTTAAAGAAATATAAATATTTTTAATTTTTAAATTATTTAAATAATTATAACCTTTAATTTAAAAAAAATATAAGATGTTTTTCTTACATGACCCGTAAAATAAATATAAAGGCAGATTATTAAAGTTTAAAATTACACGTAAGGATAGTTGTTAAATTGAAATGATTAAAATAATAACAATGACGAGGGGCACAGCTAAGCGCAGCCGCCAAACGCCATAAAAGTCATGAAATTCCATTCCGCTGTGGAAAGAACATTCCATTCATTCATACGTACATTCACACACCAACAAACCTTCGATCAAACCTCAAACTCCTTCATTTCTGTTTTTCTGCTCTCTCAATCCCACACAGAAGAAAGAAACACACCCACGTATACATAGAGAGAATCAAAGGCTTTCTATGAGTATGGGTACCCTTCAAAGTTGGAGAAAAGCCTACGGCGCCCTCAAAGACACCACCAAAGTGGGTCTCGCTCATGTCAACAGCGATTATGCGGTATCTCATTCCCATTCTCTAAACCTACCTATCCATTGTTTTATTCAATTCTTTTTAAAAAATTCGTTTATATATTTATTAATTTTTTGTTTAATCGGTTTCCTATTATTAGGATTTGGACGTTGCCGTAGTCAAAGCCACCAACCACGTCGAATGTCCTCCCAAGGAGAGACACCTTAGAAGTATGTGAAAGACAGTGTGTGGTTAATATTATTTATCTATTCGTAGATACGATCACACAACAAATTGCTCATTTATTTATTTTTTTAATGATAAAATTGCTTTGTTTATTTGTTCGATGTAGAAATTCTGTTTGCAACTTCTGCTGTACGGCCTAGAGCGGATGTTGCTTACTGCATTCATGCACTTGCACGTCGATTGGCGAAGACGCGAAACTGGACGGTACTTTTTTTTCTTTTTGTAATTTAATACTTGATGCATTTTTTTTAATTGAAAGTGAATGTATGGAATTTATATTTTTTGTTTGAGTGTTGGTTGTCTATGCTGATGTGTAAAATCTTATTACTTACGAGAATTTGAAATTATATGTATTGTAATTTAAAGTTGTTGTCAAAATTCCACGTTGCCTGTTAGAGACGTGGCTGTTAAAATATGGATTGAATGTGAATCTACTAATCTAATGCTTATTTTTTTTAAGTGAACCGTTGGAAATTATGCTGATGTATGAACCTTAATCACTTGTGAGAACAGGGTATTAGTTTCAGTATTCTGTTTGTATCAGTATTCTTGATGCTAGCTAGGTTACTGGGTGTTAGTATCGGTATTATGCTTGTGCAGTTCACAGTCGTGAATCTTTTTGGTACACTCAAATATGAGTTATAGCTTGCAAGATATTAAAAAGCTTGTAGATTGCAGTTCTCTCTCTTCCTCTTCTATTTTTTTTTTTTTTTGTTGAGTAACATCTAAGGGGATTTTATTTATTCTGATAAAAGAAATAATGAAGTGGGTCAGTCAGTTTAGTTTCGTGTCTGCTTGTCTGGAAGATTAGCTAGTGAGGTTATCCATGAGGATGTTTTAAGTGTTATGGGAAGATTCTGGATATCTTGATTCTATCTTAAAAAATGATGGGAATTGACAGAGATGCCATGCTTAGGATTCAAGCTGGGTGGATAAAATGAAGAAATGCATCAGGCATAACTTGTAAGTGTATGGAGCCCTATCAAAACTGAAAGGAAAATTTTACCAAACAACTATGAAGTTTGATGTTCTATGGTACTGAATGTTGGCCTGTAAAGTATTGACAGGTGCAAAACATAACAATAGTAAAGATGATAATGTTGTGATGGCTGCAACCTGCAAGGACATGTAAGAAAAGATAAGATCAAGAATTAATGTGTTAGGGAGAAAGTTGGTGTAGCACCTATTGAGGAGATGATGTAGATTTTCCTGAGGTGGTTAAGTCATGTTAGGAGAAGGCCAAGAGAGGCTATTGTCAAAAAAATTGGCTTTCTTTCCTTCATTCTATTCCTCTAAATAAATAATACACAATATTTACAACTATTAATGATCCTAATTCTTGATTTGTACAACTTAAATTAGGAATCCTAATTCCTAAATATATACAACTAATAGGCTGAATAATGTTCCTAATTTGTAATGGGAAATATACATGTAAATATGTAATAGAGCAGCAGATTGTTAGGGAAAATAATAATGGTCCAGCAGACTCCTTCTCTGACATTCCCCCTCAAATTGATGCGAGTGGTCAATGAGCATCAATTTGTTAGTGAGAAATTGATGCCAAGGATGAGGAACAACCTTGGTAAAAATATCCGCTAGCTAAGTTCTCAAGTAATGTGAGGAAGAGAGACAAGACAAGACAAGACAAGTATCAAGAGCCTCACGAATGGAATGACAATCCACTTCAATATGTTTGGTGTGTTCATGGAAGACTGAATTGGCAGCAATCTGTATGGTGCTAGTATTGTCAGCATAGAGAGGTATAGCCTTGGGTTGAGGGAAGCCAAGTTCAGCTAAAAGTCCACAAAGCCAAATATTTTCAGAGCAGGCTATAGACATACGTGACATTAAGACTCAGTGGAAGACTTAGATACCCAGGCCTTCTTTTTACTCTTCCAAGAGATGAGCACAAAACCTAGAAACATGCACCAACTTGTGATAGATCTTTGAGTATCTGGGCAGCTTGCCCAATCAGCATCATTATAACCCTCCAAATTAAGAGACCTCCCAGTAAGAAAGAACAACTCCTAATGAGAAGTACCTTTCAAGTAACGGATGATACAATGGACAACAGCTAGGTCAAGGTGGCCAGGGGTGTGCATAAATTGGCTAACTTGTTGGACTGCAAATGAGATGTCAAGACTTGTAATAGTCAAATAATTAAAACTATCCACTAACTGCTGATACAGCAAAGGATCAAGCAGAATTTCACCCTCATCACGGAGATATTTGACATTTACTTTGAGAGGAGTATCCACACGAGAAGCAGAGTGGAGACCAGCCAAAGAAATCAGAGCTTCAGCATACTTGTGTTGATGGAGAAAGAGACCTTTGGGTTGAGAATGAACCTCATGACCCAAAAAATAATAAAGATTGCCTAGATCCTTCACCTTCACTAGAAGCGTGAAGCTACTACTTAAGGTCTTGAATTCTTGTGAAATCTTTAAGATCAGGAGTAAGTGTTGAAAATCTAAGCCATCGTATCCCATGGTTTGGCTGGCAAGTGAAGTGAAAAACCAAGTCATGAAATACCCTACTGTTTCTTTTCAACAAGTAGTTCACAAAACCAAGCTTCCCAGTTGAATATAGTGACAAATTCTGCCAATGGACAAGATCCTTATTAATAGGGGTGGAAGAAGATTGAAGAAAACTTTTAGAGACCTTGATCTAAATAATTCTTCTGAAGTTTAGTTTTTTATTGAACACAATATCATTGTTTAATCCATGTAGATAACCCCCCTTGTTTGATAAGGGTTGGTTGTTTCAATAGCTGCTGTAATTTTTCTTTTTCTTTTTCTTTATTGACAAAGAAAGAATTTATTAAGAAAGAAGAGAGAGGGGTAAGAAATAAATACAACAGAGCAATATAACTGCAAATTGAGAACAGTGCCAAAGCCTTCTAACATCTTTAATGTCGCCAAATCCTCAAAGAATTTTTTTCTTTAGCAAAGACAAATATATGCTCCTTGAATTTTCGGTTTCAGAGAATTCATCTTTTCTGTGGTCGCAGTTGTAGTTTTCCTCTTTTACCACTAATAAAAATTATGCTATCATGAAAAAAGATATCGAACTGTACTAAAGTTACTAAAATGATGATGATATGATATCTTCCTTAGATAGAAGCGTGTAACGATGGTAACAAAAGCCATGAAGACATATCATTTATGACATTTTGTTTAATGGTCTTGAATTTCTCTTAAGGTATCCATTAAGTACATGCCCTCTAAAACATGCATGATTTTGGCACTAAAAGAATTATGAAGGCAATCTTATCCTACAAATGCTCAAATAGTAAATGACTATGCTTCAAATCCTGACTTTTCTGGCCAAAAACCTGTTTTGGAATATTCCAGTCTACTGTGCATCTTAGAACTCTGCTGACTGTTTGTCTACATCTTGAGGTATATTTAGTGAAAGTACTGAATATTGCATTCATATAAAAGATATTGAAATAATAAACTATATGAAAGGTATTGTTAGTCACATTGTCCTCAAGTAAGTAGTCTTATGTGAGCTAACAACATTGTTTTGAAAGAGATATTGTTGAGAAGGAAGAGGAACAAGAGATAAAGGATGAATCTGTGTGTCTAAGCTACATGGAAGAGTATATATTTATAATAAGAATCATTAATACAAGAATTAAATAAGAATATACAATTATTTAGTTACTATAATTACAAATATATAACCTTCCCTATGTATAACATTACTATAATTAGATATTTCTAACACTCTTCAAGCTAGAGCATATAAATTATATGTACTAAGCTTGTTGCATATAACTATTATGAGGACCTCTTAATGACTTGGTAATAACATTTGCTAATTGATCATTTAAACTAACAGGTTTAGTGTTGATGTTTCCAAAAAAGATTTTCTCTCTAATCAAATGACAATCTATTTCAATATGTTTGGTTCTTTTATAGAAGATTGGATTTGTGGCAATATGCAAGGGTGCTTGATTATTACAAATAAGTGTCATCTATATAACTTTCCCACGCCTTTGTTCTTTGTGCAACTGATTTAGGCTTTAGCCAAATAAATTCACAAGTGACTAAAGTCATGATCGATACTCTTCTTCACTAGACCTAACAACCACATTTTGTTTCTTGTTTTTTCAAGAAATCAAATTTCCATCAATAAAGATGAAATAATCAGATGTAGACCTTCTCTCACTAGGAGATCCTACCCTTGCATCTAAATACCCCATAACTTGAGTATGTTCTTTGCCTTCATATAAGAAATCTTTTCCTTGATCTCCTTCAATTTATTTGAGGATAGAATTACTATATCTCAATGTCCGTCATAAGGAGAGTTAGGGAACTAACTTACTATACTAATTGTAAAGGAGATGTTTGGACGAGTAATAGTTTGGTAGTTTAATTTTTAAATTAATCTTTTATACCTTTCTTGATTTGAAAGGGGCTTCCTTGACTCAGAATAAGTTTGGTATTTGTGTCTATATGAGCATCACAAGTTTATCCCCCATCAATTCTGTTCCTTCTAAGATATCCATCGCATACTTCCTTTGGGAAGTCAAAATACCACTTTTGGATTGTGTTACCTTAATTTTCACTAAGTATTTAAGTTTGTCAATATTTTTTGTTTGGAAGTAGTGACAAGATGCTGCTTTTTCCTATTCAATGTCGTGGTGATAATTTCCTGTAATGACAATGTTGTTGATGTACACAATCAAGTAAATAAAATCTATGGTTGAATGACGATAGAAAATCAAGTGCTCAACTTCATTTTGTTCCGAGTCATACCAAACTACTAAACCACCAGGTTAAACCTGTTAGACCATGCACTTAGGGACTATTTCAGACCATATAAGGAATTTTAGAGATGATAAACAAGTCTGGAAATAGAATTAGACATGCGGCCATGTGCCAGCAGTAGTGTGGCAAGGAGAAAGAAACCCAAAATAGATGATGGTGCACGTGGGCCCCATTTTCCACGACAATTTGGGGATAGGCTGATTTGGTGGCAGCACACTTGTTCAAGGGTTGGTTGCTAGAAAGATGTCAATAGAAAAGTTGTTGGAGATGCTGCTAAATGGGCGGCAAATAGTGACTAGAAATGAGAAGTCTGAAAATTGGATGTGAAGCACGATTTTCAAAAGAACACCAATGGGCTCACTAGGTGATCATGAATTAGGGTAAGGGTTGTCTGTTATTAGGTTCTAGATACCATGTTGAAAA